TCCTTACTATTATCTCCCTTCCTCCTATAATTCCTTACTATTATCTCTCTTCCTCCTATAATTCCTTACTATTATCTCCCCTCCTCCTATAATTCCTTACTATTATCTCCCTTCCTCCTATAATTCCTTACTATTACCTCTCTTCCTCCTATAATTCCTTACTATTATCTCTCTTCCTCCTATAATTCCTTACTATTATCCCCCTTCCTCCTATAATTCCTTACTATTATCTCTCTTCCTCCTATAATTCCTTACTATTATCTCCCTTCCTCCTATAATCCCTTACTATTACCTCCCTTCCTTCTATAATTCCTTACTATTATCTCCCTTCCTCCTATAATTCCTTACTATTACCTCCCTTCCTGCGATAATTCCTTACTATTATTCTCCCTTCCTCCTATAATTCCTTACTATTATCTCCCTTCCTCCTATAATTCCTTACTATTATCTCCCTTCCGCCTAAACTCCTTACTATTACCCCTGCTATCTTTTCATGCCTAAGAATAAAGCCTGACTGAATAAAATGACTTAAATTATAATTTGGACAAGACAATGAAGCGCCTAATGACCCCATTTTCTAGACACCCCCCTGAGGGTGGTGGCTTGATAATGTTAGAGGCTAATATTCAATATTCTATTCGATATTACAGATTTGGATAAAGTTTTATACCAACTGTTTCTTTCTATATCTGGGATTTTTTGATGGAATCCTTGCACAAGGTTTGATTTTTTTCTGAATCCTCTATCAAATCGTTACCCAGCGTACACCTTTCTGATAATATCTTAGGACGTAAATCTGTCGAAGTTTTACTACTCTTACAACAACGATTGATCATTATACCATTTAGAGAAACTGAGGCCTAATTTCCAACCTGTTTTATCTGTACCCCTTAGGGACACCGGTGAGCGCCCGAGGGTAACCTAATCCTACAATTTGAAATTGAAGAAGATTTTATGTTTATCAAAGTTGTGGTTTTTGTAGGTCTGGTAACAAATGAAGGGAAGGAATTCTATTTAACGGTGAACGAACATATCCGATATTATTCCACCTGCGACTTGTTTTTGATGACCAGAAATCCATCCGGTGCCAGGGTTAAAATCGGTGTTCCGTTAAACCGAACACTACAACCTCCTATAGACGTAGTCGTAAACGTAGCTCAGAGCGTTAAAGTTTCGTTGGATAAAAACGTTCTGATGGAAGGTTTTGGGAAATCGAACAACGGGATTCATATTTTCAGCGACGAGACTATTGTTGTTCACGTCTTTAGTCAAAGTCTGTCGACGATAGTTCCAGATACAGTTGGTGGATATCTTGCGTTTCCGTACACGGCTCTAGGAACGGAGTATATGACAGTAACGTATTGTTCAAAATACAGTTGTTATATCGGAATAATGGCGACAGCAAATTCGACAGAGGTAACGCTGACGTTTAAAACCACCGTAACGTTAGACGGAGTCGTTTGTTTGGCTGGTACGACCAAACAATTGAATCTGGACCATTATGAAGCGTTCCAGATTAAGTCAAGCGACGATCTTACCGGAATCAGGATAACCTCAAATAAAGTCATCTCCGTGACTGTCGGAGCGGACGGAACTCCGGTGGATGGAATGAAGGAGGATTACCTAATAGAACAGCTTCCGCCCATTACTGCTTTGGGAACGAATCACTATCTGCTACCTATGCCGTTAAGAACAATAGGTGATTTCGTCCGAGTTGTCGCATTAACTGATGAAACGCAGTTCCGTGTTGACGGAGTCGCATACGAAATGAAGGTTGTCGGAGACCATCAAGATCTTACATTGACACCGACCACACTCCATTTTCTCCATTCCACACTCCCTGTTCTTGTGGCGCAATTCTGCAAAAGCAGCAAAATCTCCGAAACAAGTTATACAGATCCAAATCAACTGATCATACCTCCTGTCCGACAATGGACCGGATCGTACGTGTTTGCAACTCCGGCCCTGGCACAGACAAATAACGCATTTCATTTAACGTTGGTCGCCATTAACAACTGCACAGAGGAAGTCCAATTGAACCATGGTGATATTCTAGAGTCCTGGATTCCATCAACAAACTCTACGGTTTCTATGACAACAATTACCTTGACAACCGAGTACCATAATATCACCCACAAAACCGGATGTAAAAAGGTCTGGGGATATATTTATGGAACTGCCTTGCATCAGTCGTGGGCGTTACCGATTGGTTGGTCATTTCAACCAATGAAGGTTTGTATAATTATTCACTGCAGTGGGGGCGCAATATTTAAGTACATCTACAGATTTTAGTAAATATTCAAATCTGAAAGACGAGGATATTAGTCTCTGGCGCCCAGATTATACCTGTCTATGACGAGGATATTAGTCTCTGGCGCCCAGAATATACCTTTCTATGACGAGGATATTAGTCTCTGGCACCCAGATTATACCTGTCTATGACGAGGATATTAGTCTCTGACACCCAGATTATACCTGTCTATGACGAGGATATTAGTCTCTGATGCCCAGATTATACCTGTCTATGACGAGGATATTAGTCTCTGATGCCCAGATTATACCTGTCTATGACGAGGATATTAGTCTTTGATGCCCAGATTATACCTGTCTATGACGAGGATATTAGTCTCTGGCCCAGAGTATAACTGTCTATGACGAGGATATTAGTCACTGACACCTACATTATACCTGTCTATGACGAGGATATTAGTCTCTGACGCCCAGATTATACCTTTATATGACGAGGATATTAGTCTCTGATGCCCAGATTATACCTGTCTATGACGAGGATATTAGTCTCTGGCGCCCAGATTATACCTGTCTATGACGAGGATATTAGTCTCTGACACCCAGATTATACCTGTCTATGACGAGGATATTAGTCTCTGATGCCCAGATTATACCTGTCTATGACGAGGATATTAGTCTTTGATGCCCAGATTATACCTGTCTATGACGAGGATATTAGTCTCTGACACCCAGATTATACCTGTCTATGACGAGGATATTAGTCTCCGACACTCAGATTATACCTGTCTATGACGAGGATATTAGTCTCTGGCGCCCAGATTATACCTGTCTATGACGAGGATATTAATCTCTGACGCCCAGACTATACCTGTCTATGACGAGGATATTAGTCTCTGATGGCAAGATTACACTTGTCTATGACGAGGATATTAGTCTCTGGCGCCCAGATTATACCTGTCTAAGACGGGGATATTAGTCTCTGGCGTCCAGATTATACCTGTCTATGACGAGGATATTAGTCCCTGACACCTACATTATACCTGTCTATGACGAGGATATTAGTCTCTGACACCCAGATTATACCTGTCTATGACGAGGATATTAGTCTCTGGCGCCCAGACTATACCTGTCTATGACGAGGATATTAGTCTCTGGCCCAGAGTATAACTGTCTATGACGAGGATATTAGTCACTGACACCTACATTATACCTGTCTATGACGACGATATTAGTCTCTGACGCCCAGATTATACCTGTCTATGACGAGGATATTAGTCTCTGATGCCCAGATTATACCTGTCTATGACGAGGATATTAGTCTCTGGCGCCCAGATTATACCTGTATATGACTAGGATATTAGTCTCTGGCGCCCAGATTATATCTGTCTATGACAGTTTTCGTTGAAATATCTGTTTCAAACTCCACCAAGAAAGATAATTACAATTAAACATATTGCACCTCCAAGTTTCAAACGACTAGCTTACAAACGAAACAAATTAGCAGTTTTGTCAGTTTATATTTGATAATTTTATCCGCAGATGTTATAATATTATTCATTTTTTCGGGCAAAGAATTCAAATTCGAAGACATTGTCATATTGACTGAATTATTTAAAGTAATTTTCCCATCACCAGAACGGATGTGGATTTCCAGCCAATCAGATCTAATAGCCACTGTAGCCTCGGTCAATTACAAAGATATTAAGCAACTAGTCGAGGCCATCTTTTGTCGAAGCTTTACGTAGACAAAGGGGTTATAGATGATAGAAGCTAAGCTACATGTTGTTGGGGCTGAATTACTTGTTGTTGGTTGACGGCCATCTTTAATCCAATAAAGTACCAAATAGTATGATGTAATACTCCATTATTATTTTCCTTTTATACTTTAAGGCTGCTAAAATACCAACAACAGATGATACAATTACCAGTGACCAGTCTACAGTGGATTTACTGCCGCCAACAGACAAAACACTATCTTCATTCTCTTCTCATGGTTTACTAGAACCCACATTAACCCTGTCTACCACGTCTTTTATCAATGTTTTAGATACGTCTGGTGTTTCTGTATCTGAAGCCTCCAGATATTCGTGGGACTTCAAATTATCGACGGCGATGTCGGAGTCCTTAACGGAAACCCACTCTATTTCTGTTAGCCCTGTTACCCCCAACTCCGCTGATGCCCCACCCACGTACATCACTCTATCGACCCCCTACGTGTTTGATCCGTCCAGTTCGTCCCTAGTAAAGAGTGTTAGTGCTTATCTATCGACCCAGAACCTTGGAAACAATGAATCATCATCAACATCATCATCATCATCATCATCATCATCCGCTATGACCATAAGTTCGACTGAAACTACAAGAAATCTGACAACCCCCGCTAATCAAACTCACATACCTTCAAGACACACTAACAATAATCTTTGTGGATGTGGGTGTTTTCATTCTGATGACTCTACAGTGGAAGTCAGAATCCGGCAGGCCCAGCTAGGGCTGTATGTAGACAAGGAAAAGTTAGGGTCCACTATTAGAAAGAAGACGAGTGTTCAAGACGACAGACGTTCAGCTCAAGTTGTCGGCTATGCTGGGATTATATTTATAGTGCTTGTGTTGTCATGGGCAGTAATACCGGATATTCTTAAGGTCCTTAGATTCTTGTGGTACGTCATCTGTAGGGGGAGAAATCATAACTAACACGAGTGACACTTCTTTAATAAGTGTCTAATCGTTGTTGATTGAAGAATTAAAACCTTTTACCGGCCTTCTACTCTCTCCTTTGGGTGTTATTACGTCATGATCCTGTCCCCACAGGCAGTTTAACCGGATGTGGATCATAATCTAATCTAATTTTATCTCTTCAAGTTGCGTTGCGATGAAGGACATAACTGACTTTAAAGATGATCCTTATCGATTTTGGTGATAATCTAAGAATTTTTCACCGAAATATCGTGTCCGATTTAGCGTTTTCACTCTATTAGCTATAGAGCAACTCAGGCTCACTCTACAGGCTAATCTCTACAGGCTACAATTCTTTATGGATTCTTTTGATTTTCAATTTGTTGGTCAATGTCATTATGAAGATTCAGACTCTTATATAGTACGTGTGCACGCTACAAGCAACAATTTCACCCGATAAGCTATAGTGCAACTTTTGCTCACTCTTCAGGCTACAATTCTTTGTGGATTCTTTTGATTTTTCACCCCCTACGTAGTATGGAGGCATATTGTCGTCCGTTCATACTTGGCTCGTGTTCATTCTGCAAGCTACAAGTCTTTATGGATTCTTTTGATTTTTACATGCTCATACGTAGTATGGAAGCAAATTGTCGTCTGTCTGTCCGTCGATAAAAAACGGCCATGATGAGATACAATAAAGTTTGCTAAAATGCTCTGTAGACTAAACATGAACCACATGTGAATGGGCAGCAAATAATGATTTGTACCTGCAATCAAAGATCCCCACCCCCAGAAACTAACAAAATAACAAAATAAAATAATATATCGTAAGTTTATTTAAACAACTGTGAAAATAAAAGTCTATAATTCAGAAAGAAAAGAAAATATGTCTGATCTAATCGTTGTTAATTGAAGAATTAAAAACCTTTTACCGGTCAACTACTCTCTCCTTGGGTGTTATTACGTCATGATCCTGTCCCCACAGGCAGTTTAACCGGGTGTGGATTATAATCTAATCCAATTTTATCTCTTCAAGTTGTGTCATAACAAATGATTCTATTATTAGCACCCGTGTTGAACTAAGAGATAAAACTAACTGGCCTTCTGCCCAGGGCTCTGACATTATTCGCTACCAATTCCTTCCGTGATACACGAACGATGGCCATTGTGGTCAAGGTATAAGCCGAAGTTTGTAATAGCATGACACAGGCCCGTAATCAGATTTGATTATTCGGACGGGCAAGTAATATATCCGGAGGGGCAATGGTGTATGGTGTTTATTTGTCAGATTTTTTTCTGGGGGCGGGGGGCAATCCGTTACTGCCCCCATCCCCCTCTTGCCCCCGCCTGTAGCCTCGGGCCTGGCTTGACATTGTCAAGATGCAGTTCCTTTATTCATTCTTTTTTACAAGAAATATACACATTCTGCTATGATATAGTCTTTTTAACATTTTTCAAATCATTTTGTCAATAAATACATTCGAAACAGACTAAAATAATGTTTTTATGCTTGTGTCTGGATCCAATATATTGTATTGTTTTATTTTTCATCTACTTGTGTAGGAATAAATATTGTTATAAACGACACCACTCTGTATTTTCTAGGGTTAATTTGAGTCTGGAATGTAAGTAGTCTTCAGAAATATCAGGAAAATTCCTTCAAATTTCCCTTTTCTTCTATATATATCTCTTTTCTATTTATGGCGTAGTCTTAAGAACTTCTCAACGGAGATAATTCTGGACAACGTGGATTTGAGGACTCAAATTTCGACGGTGAGCTGTGCACACTATTACTTATTAGCTTAGCTAAAAAAAAATCCCGTCTCCGAGACTAAGGTAATGTTGGTAGATGGATGTCCTTGTAAAAAATCAAATTTGTGAACAAGCAAACAAAACACAATCTTGCGCCAGTAGGTTACCTCACTTGACTCACTGTTTGTGTACATCTACAATATTAGTGGTCTAAGTCCAACGAAGGGAAGTAAGTTATTATTAACTTCCCGTTCTCCTCTGGGTTTATCGTTTGTTATTATTTGTTTATTAAAACATTTCTCCACCAGTATTTGTGCTTTAATGGTATTGTGCTCCAGACTGGCGTGGTGGCCTAAGTTGGGATTTACCTACCTCGAAGTATTTTATCAAAGAAAAGAGACAGTCTTAAACGGATCGAAGGACACAATACTTACACCATTCGCATTTGGAAAAGCAACTCAATTGTAAGTAAATTGCTGTTACTGGTGAGATGGCGAATATACGCGCACCTAAACAGTGGGCTCTAAGAAAACAAGAGACAATTACTTCATTCGAAGCCTGGAGACAAAATTTGCAATATATCTTGTCACTAGATCAAAATTTCGCATCATACCTTGTTGATGGTGTCACATGGGAAAAGAAACGGCTACTACACCTAAAAGAGGATTTGTATCTGATGGAGAGAATGTACCAGAGGCAAGAAGAAGGACAGATGATCAAAACGTCACTCATTTGGAACTTATGCTCGGACAGATAGCGAATTACTGTCCAGTTATTTCCAGAAATACCGTTGTCAAAAATTCAACATCCTTAACACAGATTTGGCAAGCAATTCGTTTACATTACGGATTTCAGCTCACAGGATCCCATTTCTTGGATTTTAACAGTATTTCCCTTAATCCCGACGAGCGCCCTGAAGATTTGTACCAGCGTCTAATCTCCTTTATAGAGGACAATTTACTTACCACAGCCGGAAGGATATCACATCATGGTTCTTTTCCAACGCCTGATGAAGAATTAACTCCTTCTCTTGAGAATATGGTCGTCTTGATATGGTTGCGCTTAATTCATCCAGATTTACCACAATTGGTCAAACAACGATACGGCACTGAACTTCGATCACAGACATTAGCCACTTTGAAACCAGAAATATCGGTAGCACTCGATTCCTCATTGGACGAAGTTCACACAACTGCAGATGCGAAAATACTAAGAACCACCACCAAGGATTTGTTGACGTCATATAAAACTACGCAAAATAGGTCACAGTCACTCCGACAATCGACAAAGATTTGTCCCCTTTGCAAACAATCTGAGCCTCCACAAAGGAAGGGTCGTGTTCCACAGTTTTCTAAAAACAAACTTTACGAATTACAAGAGAAATTCGATCAACTAGAATCCATGGGTGTTTTTAGAAAACCTGAAGAGCTAGGACTTACTGAATCCTTCATTTCCTGTGAAGAAGCAGTCTGGTGGACATAGATTGGTAACTGCCTTTTCAGATGTCGCTCGCTATAGCAAACCACGGCCATCTCTTATGCCTAATGTGGATTCGATTCTGCGCACCATTGCTTGCTGGGAATACATTATAGTTACCGATTTGACTAACGCTTTCTACCAGATTCCTCTCTCGAAAGCCTCTATGAAGTATTGCGGTGTTGCCACTCCTTACCGTGGTATAAGATTGTACGCTCGTTCGGCTATGGGTATGCCGAGATCTGAGACAGCATTGGAGGAGTTGATGTGTCGTATTTTGGGAGATTTACTACAGGAAGGCGCTGTCACGAAACTCGCTGATGACCTTTACATTGGCGGTAACTCACCCGACGAGCTCCTTCGCCGATTCCAGCGAACTCTTCAAGCCTTAAGTGTGTGTAATATGCGACTTTCTGCTTCAAAAACCATTATATGTCCGAAAGATACTACTATATTGGGATGGATATGGTCACAGGGATCTCTCTCTGCGAGTCTCCATAGAATTTCTACCTTGTCTACTACTCAACCACCTGAGAATGTTCGTGGTCTTAGAGCATTTATAGGAGCATATAAAGTTCTTATGCGTGTCATCCCTAACTGTTCCAATTTTATAAGTCCCTTGGAAACTGCCATAGCTGGCTTACAGTCAACAGATAAAATACCTTGGACCGATGATCTTCGTGCACAGTATACGACTGCTCAGGCTGCTCTCACCACCAATAAGAGTATCCTGTTACCACGTCCATCCGATCAACTCTGGATAGTTACAGATGGTTCCGTCAAACAAAATGGTATCGGCGCAACCCTATATGTTACAAGACAGTCCCATATGTACCTGTCGGGTTTCTTCAGCGCAAAACTTCGTCAACACCAGGTTACTTGGTTACCCTGTGAAATAGAAGCGTTATCAAACATTTTTCTCCGTATATAATTCAATCCACTCAGACTACCTGTTTATTGACTGACAGTAAACCCTGTGTTCAGGCAGTGGAAAAATTGTGCAGAGGGGAGTTCTCAAACAGTCCCCGTGTTACGTCCTTCCTATCTGCCGTTAGCAGATACCAAGTTAGCGTCAGGCATCACGCTGGGAAGGCTAATATCCCGTCCGACTTCGCGAGTAGAAATGCGCCCGATTGTAATCAGCCTAACTGCCAAATTGGCTTGTTCATAATCAAATTAGAAGAATCCGTCGTTGGATGTGTTAAACCCTCTGATGTACTTGCCGGTAATACAAAGATACCATTTTCATCCCGGTCTGCTTGGATTTCTACTCAGACTGACAGTCCTGATTTACGCCGCGTTCATGTACATTTAAAACAAGGAACTCGACCCTCAAAGAAGATTACTAACCTAAGTGATGTAAAACGTTATCTTAATTCTGTTACCATAGCCAAGGATGGACTTTTGGTTATTAAACATAATGAGCCATTTTATCCGTCATCAGAATTGACAGTAGTTCCTAAAGAGGTATGACATGGTTTACTAACAGCTCTCCATTTAAAGTTGGACCACCCTACACAACACCAACTAAAACAAGTTTCGAAGCGCCAGTTTTTCGCTTTAGGAATGGATCAAGCAATAGCAGACGTTACCTCCGCTTGTAATATCTGTACTTCTTTGAAACATTTGCCTGATCATATCATTAATCCATCAACTAGCGTTCCTCCAGGAACAGTGTCAATATCATTTGCTGCTGATGTCCTTCGTCGTTCCAAGCAATTATATTTCTCATAAGGGAGACCACTACGTCACACACCACAACTCTTATAGAGAATGAGAAGTCCTCTACATTTCGTGACATTCTTTCTCGTCTATTATTGACCATGAAACCAATTGATGGACCCCCTGTATCAGTTCGAGTTGATCCCGCGCCAGGGTTCACCCCGCTTGTATCAGATCAAACACTACTCAAACTTGGAATCTCACTCGAAGTCGGTAGAATCAAAAACCCTAATAAGAGTCCTGTAGCTGAGAGGGCTATCCAAGAATTAGAGGGTGAGTTATTACGTCAGGAACCTGGTGGTGGTCCTGTTACACCATTGGGATTGTCAATAGCTACGGCTCGTATGAATTCAAGAGTCCGGTCTCATGGCTTATCAGCTCATGAACTAAGAAGAAGAAGTCAAGTGACAAATCAACAGATTCCTCTCTCTGATCGCGAAGTAATTCTTCGTCAACATTCTCGACGACTAGCAAATCATCCTTACAGCTTTAGATCGAAGAATCATCGACGTCCCTCAAATAACACTGTTGCTAAAGTTGGCGATTTAGTTTACCTTACCTGTGATGGCAGCAAAGACAAAGGTCGTGAACGATACATCGTCACATCAACTGATGACAATTGGTTTTACATCCGTAAATTCCTTGGCGCTCAATTACGATCTAAAACTTACCAGGTTCATCCATCCGAATGTATTGTAATACCTCAATTTTATTCGTCCATGCCATTTAGACGTTCATACCCCAATGATTCTAGTGAAGTAAGCGAGTACAAAGATACGGACCATGATATACCCCTTACCGATGCCGACCAGGTGTCAAATGATGCTGCTCCAAGTCAAGGTCAATCTCTTCTTGTCGAAGAGCCTCCTGAGGTGGATCCCCCTCCAGATATTCCAGAGCTACTGAGTCAACCAGTTGAAGACGCTGATACAGCTGCTGTCATTCCTTCGTCGGATCCGTTGTCATCTCTCCCTACCCGACCCAAACGCATAGTAAGTCATTTGAATGATTATCAGTGTGATTAAAAGCAAAGTTATGCTAAATGTTTTTTGTTTTTGAAATAATAATTTGCTTTGTTGTGTACCTTTGACAATTCGTCAATCTCGGTGCTTTACTTTATGTACCATTTTAGTTATATTTAATGAAAAAAGAAGTTGCACCAGTAGGTTACCTCACTTGATTCACCGTTTGTGTACATCTACAATATTAGTGGTCTAAGTCCAACGAAGGGAAGTAAGTTATTATTAACTTCCCGTTCTCCTCTGGGTTTATCGTTTGTTATTTTTTGTTTATTAAAACCATTCTTCACCAGTATTTGTGCTTTAATGGTATTGTGCTCCAGACCGGCGTTGGACAAGCTGGAAAGTTACAAATCTATTGTGGTCTGAAGTATACATGTTGCTCGGAGAATTCTGTAGTTACTTCCCTTGCTCTATATGGACGTTCTACCTTGTTTGAAATATCTAAGGGCCTATTCGATTGTGATATACATCGATACACATAGAAATACTTCTTTACAATCCCTTTAATATCCCAAGCAATGTAAGTTAAACCTCGAAATCTATTCTTTGACTCTTCGACTTTTACTTAATCAATCCAGGGATCTGTTTCACGGAATCTTAAAAACGTTCAGGTAGGGGTTAGGGCCAGGCCTGTGAAAGGACTTATTTTGAAGTGAAAAGTAAGCCCTCTAACTGGTCAAAATTCGTGGACCTTCACTCATTTTCGGTTGGAAATTTTAAATATTTTAAACAATGTCGGTAAGATGACTGCAGACAGTTCTTCTTACAGATTAGAAATCATCATCGTGAACATGTAAATATGTGTACCTTTCCACTACATTACGGTACATACAATTACTGTCTTTATATATATATATATATATATATATATATCTTATGATCCATTACAAACCATGTTGTAGGCCAATGTTCTACCTTAACACCTGCGTGATCCAAATAGTTTCCTCACCACCATACCTGTACGACTAGACCCTAATTAGGTTTTTTTATCAGGTGTTAATTGGAACACCTTTCCGCGTGATTTCATTCTATTTATTCTCACCATCTAATCACAATAACAACTGATAGATTTTCACCTTTTTTTCTTTAAATTGATGATAATTGGTCTCAATCATTATTTTGGGTAAATAAATACAAATTTCTCACCAATTTAAAGTTATAGATATAAAATAAAGATGGGTTATGGTCTATAAATTCCAGGTCTGGTCAGGTGCTACCGACCTATATTGAAGTAGACACAAGGTCCAAAATACGCGTTTCATACACACAAATTTTGCTATCATTGAATTAAAGCGACAGTATGCATAATTTCATTAATTAAAACATTTTGAAATAAACGTAAACCTTTACAATGACTTTAAAATGAACTGCAAAAAAATTTTAGTTGTAACTTTCAGATGTGTGTGAGGTAAAAATTAAGTTGTCCTTCTTAATCTCTATATTGTTTCTTGTTGGTATATATTTTGTTATGTTTTATTCTCTTGCCATTACATCTGATGACGACACGTGTATATTGTGTTGAAACGTTATGTGCCCAACCTTATTAAAGAAGTGTGTTATATTCCATAATATTGTCTTGTGTTTTTGTTATATGTGCTCCTCGCTTCTATATGTCGTTCAAATCTTATAAAAATTAAGTTGCCTAACTTTTCGAAAATTTTAAAAAATCAACTACAGCTCTTTGATGTATCTGGATACCGATGAGGAATATACTATACCATTATTTTAGAAGCGAGTGGTTTGTGTTAGGCAAAGCCTAGGTCAGTGCTTTTCTATATAATAAAAATCTTTATTTGCATCATTTTACACCATTTCTTGTCAAAGGCAATACATAAAGAAACAAGTACAATCACATGATACAAATTAACAGCATCAAATACAAATTGACAACACAATAGCTATAAGCATGCCCCCACCCTCTACTCCTAGGAAAGTGGCTGACCTGGATCTAGTCCGCCACTTTTAACGTTTTTTTTAACATTTTATTTACTGAAATTGCCGGTGCAACACCCCCCGCCCACCACCCGGAAAAATTTTTCGTCCATGCTGGGCCCCTCACCTAATTCTCCTTGAAACGCCTCTGGCATACGGATAGTTTCCAGAATGAATAGTGAAATAAACTGTCATACATTGTTGTTACACTGTCTTACACTGTTAAAAAATACTGTAATTCCAACAACTCAACCCGTGCTATAGTTCCTGTACTATCGAGAATAGGTCCCATACAACCCGTTTGAACAACTTGGCAACTTTTATGCCATCGTTCCTGTACGATCGAGCTTGTCTTGAACTGTTCACAAGGGAAAAATACAAATCTTTTAGTCCTTCGTAAACCTTGGAATTCTATTACGTGTGTATATGACAATTGTCAAATGAGAATATCTCACAATTTTCCTCATGTCTAACGTTATCTATAAGTCTGCCTAAATACCCTCAAAATATTGACCCCTAATGACTTGACACAAGCTTTAAGACACGACCTTGAGTTTGTTGAGACGCTAACGACAGTGGATAATTTGTAAAGTGGAATATGGCGTCTATTCTGTTCTTTATAAACACAGGCTAGAATATAATACAGGTATTTAAGGTCGAGTATTTACTCTGGAAATGGACAATAATTGTCGCGATATTGAACTCTTTTATTCGTCGAGGTGACAATCAGTAAACTCTATCAACCATGACCGCCATTGAATTTCAAACTCTCCTCGAGCAGACAGCTTTTAGTCACGTGACGTGAGGCCCGACAGGTTCTGAGTCGGTTGTTTACTGTCGGCTCATTTCGTTTCAACTCCCGACTCAGCCACATCGTTGACGACTTTATTTTTTAATTTCATTATGTTATCAAAAGGGAATTAATTAGGAAGCGGCGGATATTTTAATCGGATTGTAATTAGTGATCGATTTGGGACGGATTAGAAGTTTGTTTGTATCCCTTTCGGTGCTCTGTAGTGTTATATGAAGTGAAATCATTACGAGTGAGAGGACGCATGTTGAATCGCAGTGAAAACCTCAACTGTAAACGGATTATCTCAATGTTAATATGATATTTAACAAAATGGAATAATTTAATACCGAAAGCACTAACCGTGGACTCGTAACTTACAGTAAATTACAGTGAATATGGATATAATAACAGTAGAATGGAAGAGAATGGAGTAGCGGTAAATTCAAGGCAGGTAAAACTCAATCAAGGTAACGAGATACGGATATTGCCAGCCGACAGCTAATGGCTTGTTTTGATCAGAAAGGTGGCCAAATAAATTAACTCGCCCAACTACCTCCTCAGGTTGGAAGTGTTTGAATTGTAAATTAACTTTACGTCCCCCTTTTTTGCACCTTATTTTGTCTGGGATAATTATTACTATGAAGTATGTGAGATAGTTTACCTGGACATGTGACCAAATATTATTGGCAGAAAATTAACCAAGATGTCTCGACTCTTCACTGGAATAAACCCAAACTAAATCCGATGAATTTTTACAGTGAATTAATTTGCAACATTGTGTAACACTGTAATAATTTACTGTGAGATATCACCAAATATTGACAGTTAAACAGTGAATTTATAATATTATTATTTTATTACTTGGGGAAGTCTTCACAAAATAGTCAGTTACCAGATTGAGATAGACTACCTAGAAAAAATATTTATCCTCTTGATATATAGTTCAAAATTTTACTGATTATTTCTATGTGAATTTGAGTATCTTGGTTAAACCCTTGTATTAATATATTTATTATAATATTAGTATGACATGTGTATATTGAATTATAAAGTTTTGTAGGTTTACATTGAAAAAAAAATTCTTCTCAGAAATTCAACAAGAAATGCCCTTTGTGGAAAAAAAGCTGTGGTTTGAAAAAAATCTAAATTAAAACTTGGATTTTTTGAAACAAGTTTCATGTAATTTATTGTAAAATATAATATAAAGTTATGTTGATTTTGAAGATAGACTCAGAAGGTTGATATTTACTGTCACCTCTAAATGGGTTATAGTCAATTTGACACCTTAACAAAATGAGCCCAAATTTAGTCAAAATGGCCCCTAAAAATTGGTCTAATTGGACCCTGGAAAAGGTCAAAATGGCCATTTGTAAAATTCTAAATGGTACCAAAATAATATTTGATTTCAGTGAATAACTTTAATCAAAAATAATATCATATCAATGTTTTGCCAGTATGTTGTTTGTATTTCGCTGCTGAAATAGGTGTAGAGGGATTGGATCAGGGACCAGTAAGATAGGGGTGATACATTTGTACATTTATTGAAGTAATCTGAATCTCTACCTTCATCACTGTTATTTAGGTTGAAACTTTCTGACGATTTCAAAAATTAGTTTTCTTTACTTTATCATTTTAACAGAAAAAAACCAAGTAAAACAGTTCAGATTTAAATTTTTATGATTTTTAATATTTTTTTTCTTTTTTCAATGGCCATGTATTTTTATTATTAATCCAATTTTTGAACTATTCTTGAAAGCTTGAAAATTGACTGAATACTTTGAATAATGTTTCCTTTTATTTTCAGAAATGAGGAGTGAAAAATAAGTTTAATTTCCTGATTGTTGAAAGTAGCGAAACTTTCAAATGTTAGAGGATTCAGGATGGGGAAACATTGTTGTAAAATATCTTGGAAATATTGGACTCGATATATTTATTTATTAGTGCTGCCATTCTTAATTCACAACAGCGCAGCCACAGAATTTAACGAAGATTTTTCAGTGGCGGAAGGTGAACCGCCTGGTGTGTTAGTTGGGACGATAGGGGGTGCTGGATTACGACCGCCCTTTGGCCAATTTTTCCCAAGTGATCCTCAAGATAAAGAAGTGGAAAATAGTTTTGATATTAATTTACAAAATGGTGAAATCCGGACGAAGGTTGTTTTGGATCGTGAGAAAAGACTCAGCGAACCGTTTGTTTTCTTTTTATTACCGGATGACGGTTTATCCAATGATGCTGTGAAGGTTTCCATAGTGATCACAGACATCAATGATAATAATCCCACCTTCCAAAATCGGACGAAATACGTCGAAATTCCAGAAAATATGTTAAATATGAAAATTCCATTAGGTAGTGTAACTGATCGTGATTTAGGAAATAATACGACTCAAAAATGTGAAATTGTGTCGGGTAATATTCATAACACGTTTTCCATCACCACCATCCCCGCCGGTAGTTTCGACATGCTCGTTAATTTAATTATCAAGAAACCTCTGGATTATGAAAAGACTAAAAATTATAACTTAGTTGTACGTGCGTTCGACGGTGGTAGTCCGATGCGAACTGGTGATCTTCAAGTTCAAATTAAAATAATTGACACGAACGATCATCAACCTGTGTTTAACGCCAGTCAATATACAGCATTTATTCCTGAAAATTCAACTGTCGGAGCGAGTGTGCTACACGTGTTCGCTACAGACTCGGACTCGGGAGATAACGGCCGTATTCGATATTCGTTAGATAAACAAGGTGACCCCGATCAGCATTTCATTATTAATTCCTTGACAGGGGAAATAACTGTAAACAAACCGTTAGATTTTGAAACGAAAAATAAATATGTTTTAGTCGTTAAGGCTCAAGATCAGGGCCCCAATTCTCAACCAGCCAGCGTCTCTTTAGAAATTACTCTAAAAAATATTAACGAACTTCCAGCCAACATTAGTCTACTGTTTCTTCAATCTGCCAGAATTCCTGAAAATGTTCAAAATGGAACATCAGTTGCTAGGATATCTATAAGCGACCCGGACAGTCCAAATGATCGTAATGTGGATGTAAAAGTGTCTCTGATTGGTGGAAATGGTGTATTCGGATTATCAACTAAAGACAATATCGTGTATTTGGTAGTTGTTTCTCGACCTCCAGATCGCGAAATCAAATCTCATTATAATCTCTCTATCGTTGCCACGGATTCTGGAATTCCGCCTTTACGTGCCGTCAAATCTTTTACAATTTATATCGATGACATTAACGACAACAAACCGAAATTTACAAATTCAACGTACCAAGCTGTGATACAGGAAGTAGCAAGCCCAGGAACGTCGGTGATCCAAGTGAAAGCAATAGATCCAGATGACGGAGATAATGCACAAATAACGTATAAAATTCTGGAACACCAAAGTTCCCAGCACGAGTGGTTTCAGATAGACAGGCAAACTGGATTAATAACAACGAAAGCCCAGATTGATTGTGAAGTGAACCCCCACCCTACCCTCGTTATTCTGGCACTGGATGGGGGCAACTCTCCACTTTCATCAAGTGCCACTGTGGAAGTAATTGTAAATGATGTGAACGACAATCAACCGGAATTTGAAAAGAGTTTTTACAGCGTGGAGGTACCAGAAACTAAAGGAGTGGGATCTTGTATTTTAAAGGTAAGACAAACATTTCTATTGGACTACAAAAAAACAGTGTTGCCTTAGTTACGATATTCTACAATATAAGAACAACATTTTTATTGGATGACAAATTTCTGATGGAATTGATGTAAATTTAAAAGTAATTCTGTTAAAATTGGCATCATGTATGATTGGAAGAGCTCAGAGATTTTAAAGAAGGGTGTTTTTGTGTTAAATTATACCCAGCCTTGTACAAGCATCAAGTTTTATTAGCATGAATAAATGATAAAGTTATGAAGCCTAATCTCTATTAAGTCAGTTTGAGAACTCAAGCACAAAATATCCATCGGAAATTTGTTTATCATTCTTTAAAAGATTATCTGCGGTATAAACATTCCTTTATTTTCTTATCTATAATCCCTTTCTTACATCACAATCCCATTACTGTAAACACTATACATGAGCTGTATGATATACAGAAAATGCAGATTGGGGGGTGGGGGTGGCAGAGGGGTAAAATACATGGGGTGAGGAGACAGGTTAATCTTGAGTTACATCACAATCCAATCAGCATGAATTCTTTTAGTACCCCTGAGGGCAACATGCTTGTTATGAGTCTTCACCAATTTCTATTATGTCACAATCATTAATATTAAATATACATGCTTATATCTCAAAAATTGGGAGAGGAGGGGTTTTATCTTTAGTTATATCACAATCCAATAATCATGGATCATTTTTACTACCCCTCAGGGCATCTGTACACAATTACAACTTACTACTGATAATATACATTATATCACAAGCCTATTAACAAAAAATAACAAGAGGGAGTGGAGGGGTGGGTGGTTCTCCTTCACTGTATTCATAGTGTCTACCCTCCCATCCCACCTTCTCCTACAATTTGCTTCTCTTTTATCTGATGTTTTTGTCTCTATTGTAATCTAACATGTTTTCAACTGCAGTCCAGTTCTAATGATATTATTTTTAACCAATCAAAGTTTCAAAGCTTGTTATGTAGGACTTGTTTCTTAATATCAATGACAGTTACCTGTCAAATCAAAATACTATCTGTTATTAAAATTCTTATGTCATACCAATTTGTCTTATTGCAATAATCTACTAACATTTAAGAAATTTTTATTAAAAGACAAATTCTTATTGAATACAGACTTGTCATGCCAAATTACTTAATTGCAATTGTTTCAAATGAACTGAGAATTGTTTGACAGTTTGAATAGAAATGAATTAAAGACGCCCTGGCACTGTATAAACAAGCACCTGCCAGGTTTAATTACAATTAGTATTTTAGCAAACAGATTTACCTTGTCTCAGGACGGACCTTAGCTTTAGATTACATTAAACAAAGGGTTTATATACCCAAATGTTGGATCATTCAGAAATACAATCAGCAGTATGGGGGGAAAAATAAGCAGGATTTGTAATAATAAATAATTACAGATAATAGATATTGATAAAAAATAAAGACATGATAATGTAAAAGCCAACTACCTTTATGTTAGCTAAGTTTCTTTTTAAAAATATCAGATAAATAAGGATTCTGTGTATTGTTATGAAACCAGGTAAGTCCACTGGTGAATTTATACTCTTATTGGCCAAATTTGACTTAAAAATTTATATCTATACCAAGAGGTAATTCCTTTGAAAGAATACTACTTCTAAGTTTTATGGATTTATTGGATTATAGAAGAATTCTGTTGTATTGTTATGGCACCAGGTAATTCAACTGATGAATATATACTCTTATTGGCCAAGTTTGAGACTTTAAATGAATAGCATCCCTTTTAAAACCAACTGGATATTAACACGACCTTGTTAAGACCAAAAGATGTGAATAGTGTCATAAATTAATGGAGTTTCAAGCTAATGAAAATATTAGACTGTGACTGGACAGTATAATGAAAGGTAGAGAATATTGCCGGGGAGATTTCGTGGTTGATTTAACGTAGATATTGAAATCGTGTCGCGATGTATTCACCACAGTAATGAGGAGTGTTTGCTTCTTTCAGACCAGTCATTGTTTAAACTTGTCAACCCTCGGGTTCAGATCTCCCTCAAGGTTTCTTTCACCGTAACAAATTCTGTTTTTCATCTCCACAGCTTATCCCTTCCAATAACATTTTCTTAACTCCACTTTTGAAGAGCGGTGAACCTGATATGATCCACTGCCCACTGGGATATTGATACGTCCAATCAAAATACCTGGTTCGTTTCCATTTATATACATTTGGTGGTTAATTTGTTACGTTTTATACTTAAAAACCTTTGTCTAATTTCTGAATAATTTTGTGTAATGAAATTTCTGAATAATTTTGTATAATGAAATTTCTGAATAATTTTGTATAATGAAATTTCTGAATAATTTTGTGTAATGAAATTTCTGAATAATTTTGTGTAATGAAATTTCTGAATAATTTTGTATAATGAAATTTCTGAATAATTTTGTGTAATGAAATTTCTGAATAATTTTGTATAATGAAATTTCTGAATAATTTTGTATAATGAAATTTCTGAATAATTTTGTGTAATGAAATTTCTGAATAATTTTGTGTAATGAAATTTCTGAATAATTTTGTGTAATGAAATTTCTGAATAATTTTGTGTAATGAAATTTCTGAATAATTTTGTGTAATGAAATTTCTGAATAATTTTGTGTAATGAAATTTCTGAATAATTTTAGGTGGTCGTGTGGCAGAAAATTTTATAAAATTCAGAAAAACAAAGTGACTAACGAAACCTTAATATAAAATATAAATATATAACATTTGAAAACTTTTTATAAAAACAGAAATTATCTGCTCAAGTCAAGCCACCAAGTTCATTTCCTGAGCTGAAATGAAAAGAAAATATTTGATTAGAACACCAAGTGGATTATTACCTTTTACAAAATTCTAAACTTTTATTTGAAATGTTTTATTTGGTATCAAGATTTTATCTCAAATGCGTCAGACATTATTTAAACGTTGGAAAACTTTTCAAGAAAATTCTATTGTATTATTATGTAAATTTTATCATATTGTGATACATTGTTTAGAATATAATCAATAACAGACTTCGATAGATTCTATCTGTGAAATATAAAAAGAATTGTGATTGGCTGTAGATTCTGTCTATGAAATATACGAAGCATTGTGATTGGCTGATACATTAGTCTCATGTTTATTCATATATAATTATTATTTTTAGTTCTATGCGTATCATTGCCATGAATCATGTCTGTTAATTTTAAGTAAAGAGAATAATATATATATATTACTTTTATTTCAAATTCCATAAAATCAACAGAGTATGAAAATATTGGAATGTTAAAAAAAAAAAATTAATAAAAACTGAACGAAAGTAGGGAATCAAGAATTTTTTAAGACCATATTTACTTTCATAAATAGCGAATCAAAAATTTCCAATTACCTTTTCCAATGGGGTTTTGAAAATTGATTTTATAATTAAATATTGTTTTAACACCGATCTGATTTGTTTGTTATGTGTAAATGTCTGTCCTGAACCCAAACATAACACTTCCTGTCCGAGTTGAGGTCAGTGAAAATCTCTAGGTTGTAAAAAAACAAACGCCTGTCAAAATCTGGTCATTTCTCAACTGTAAACTATGAAGAATGCTAACCATTATAGATGTCATAATATTTAGATGTTTTTTTTCCAATGGAGTTTGTCTACAAGATACAAGAGAGGTTTGGGGTTGATGTGGACAAAAAATCATTATTTTTTTTGCAATATGACTCAATAATTTGGGTTGATTTAGACATTTTTTTAGGATTTTTTCGTTAAGTAAATGTTTTTAAAAAGGCAGAGGTAAATTTTGCTATTAATTGAAAGCAACAAGGGGCTTAACTCTGGCAAAGGATATTTATTCCGTTTCTACAATCGAACAACAGGTCTTTCATTCTAAAGATGGCTTTTGATATGCATGCTTAAGGAATGCAGCGAGTTTTCATTATTCAGTATACCCTCAGAGTTTGAACTTTAAAAAGCCACGACTTAATTCAACTGTTTGAGAGTAGTAATTATTATTCAAGACGTGTTGCTATGTATTTAAACTGGTAACTAGAGAAAAGTGACAATACAAACAGTCCTTACACCTCATTGTCCACATAAAAACACACTGAAATTCAATCTTACGTAAATAATTGAAAAATATTTTTACAAGAACTGGGATTAGACCTGCCCATTAATCGTGTACCGAGTTATTCGATTCGCGAGGTATTGACGATACACCTATAATTAGCATAACTCCGAACAGAGGCTCTAATTTGAAACAGCGATGAACGTAAGAATTATTACCAATGTGATAAAAGGTTATAATTGTAATCGAACCATTGTAACGCGGCATTTTAACTTCTAGATTTCGGTCAGATAGCGTATTTTGATGTATTTCGATCTGTCGTTTTGATTGAATTTTGACAAGATCTTGTGGTGTCAGGGCAAACATGACCCAACGTTATTCAAGAGGTGAATTTAACAAAGTTTTGTCAAGTTATTATCTTTGTCTAGGAAATATCTCGAGGTATTCAATATAATTATTGGTTTTAAAATCTCATTGAAGCGTTAATTTTAAAGTTGAGATGAATTTTACTCTGGTGGGATGTTAACTTGTGTTTAAACTATATCTCTGTTATAAAAATAAAATACTATTATGAATATACTACTCCTCTTTAATTTATCCAAAATAGTGTTTAATTTTTATAATGTTCTATCTACTTCTAAATGTTATTCAAGAATTATATATCTCTATTGGTTAAAATATTTTTTTGCAAAATTTTTACAAAAGAAATTTTAAGTGAAACTTTGAAAAAGAAATTGAAAACAGTAATTTCCTCCTGTTTTGCTAGTTACTTTCTTTAATCACCCTTACCCCTATCAACATGAAATCAACATGGTAAAAAACTGCGAAGATTTCTATAAAATCTGTTATGAGAAAGTTCAAGGACCAATAAAAATTAAGATGATCATCTATCCTCAATCAATTAATATATTTGACATTTAACAACAAAATGATGAAAAAATGATTCAGAAGAGTCCAATGTTTGGTTTTCACATGTGCTTAGAAT